CGAAAGTGACGGTCGCGCCAAAATTTGGAGAGAAACAGAAGAAAAAAATTGGGAGAAAAATTTGCCTATGTGACTCGTGCAGCACAACGCATAGAGCTTCATTAGATCGCCGTGATGACATGCGGCGTCGAATGACCTGTGTGTGTCAAAAAGGCAACTACGACATGTCGACGATGATTGACTCCCATGTTGCCCTGTTCTGAAACAACGAGATGGTCCAGGGTGTTTCAGCTTTTCCTAAGCCACACTGCGTGTTAAAGAGTACGCTCCTGGTCTCCAAAAGCACATCAGTCGAGCGCTGATGCTCTCTGAGTAGATTGCAGGTGCGAGACGTCAGCGAGATAGACCTGCAATGAGGCGTGCCCGTACCATCTTTACCTGTTTTGGGATAGGAACCACTATCGTCTCCTTGCAGTTGTCCGGAAATGCATCGCATTCTCAGATGAAGCTAAATTTCAACAACAGGTTGTCCAACAGCGAGTTACTACAAATCCTGGGCGTTGCGTTCACTTCAGCATCGGGTTCCGGGGCGACGTTTTGCGTCATGAGAAGGGTAGCTTTTAACTCCCCATTTGTGAAGATGGCGCTGTAAGGACTCATGGTTGGCGGCGCCGAAGGCCACAGGGCGTCTCTCGCATTGCGCCTTGCGCCGTAAAGATCTGGGATCCGAAGGCACAAGTGCGCAGCGCTGCACAACGCGCTGGCTAGCTCGTCGGCCACGCTAGCCGTGTCAGCATCCGTGGTGCTCCGTACCTGAAGAACTGGACTTGGGACGAACGGACATTGGCACGAATTCTGTGAATGCGGCTCCACGTCTGCGAAAATGGTGTAAAACAGTTGATGTTTCTCACACATACCTGCCACGAAGCAGCTTTGACTCGCGCACAGCCCTTCTCGCCTGTGCTGAGGATTGTTTAAGCACAAGCTCCTGTGGATGCCCGGGCCCTTTGGACCTCCAGGGCTCTCAGCAACCAACCAAGGCTGTCTTGTCCGTTCAGTGCTCCTCTGGTCGCTCAGGAGTCTGTTAGCTGCATAGGGTTTGTTTGGCTACCGGGGGCGCTCTGGCTACTGAAGAGCCATCTGGTCACTGAGGAGCCCTCTGTCCACTGAGGTGCCTCTCTGGACCATCCGGTGCCCCATGTGCCACTCAGGGTCTTGTCAGTCGCTCAGAGTCCTCTCTATCCGCATGACACTCTGGATACTCTGCGTCTTTTGAATGCACTGGGCTCGTTTTGCAGCTCAGATGTCATCTTGTTGCCAAGCGGCGAGGGGCACCTCAGTGACTTTCAAAGGCGGTCCAGTCTCATACACGACTGTGTTGACATGTAAATGAATTCCTTCCTGCATCAAGCTTGGCCGATGGCAGAATGTAACAAAGGTGCCTTGCGGGGGTACATAGAGTTGCTCTGTGACTTTTGGTGCGACGGGAATTGTTCCGTCCGCAGTTGCTTTATTACCGGAACAAGGCAAACACACACACCGCAAATGCACAAACGCCATCCACGCCCCGGCTTCCACCGTCTCTGCCGGTGTTCTCTGCAAACCCCGATGTCGCCAGCGGGCTGGTCGGCGCCAGCCGTAGAACGACACTCAGTCCAGACTCCTGCTGCGGAACACCCTTTCTCTCCGAGCCACACGTCCATTGTAGTCTTACATTTCACGCCGGGCGACCACAAACACAGAACACGACTCTCCGTGAAGTCATAAGCGGTAACGCACCGGCCCTACGCGAAAGCTGGCGCTCGGCACAGTTATAGGTCAAACCGTGTCGTGGCCCTGCGGGAGCGTTGGGGCCGGGTCACTTGTTCCGAAGCTTCCCCAATCTCAAGGCTCGACTGCAGCGGAGGCGGTGCTCTGAACGCCACGTGCATGGGTGGAGACGGCACCTCATGCAGCGGCAGAGACGGCGCCGTGTTCAGAGGCGGAGACGGTGCTGCGTGCAACGGCGGAAACGGCACCTCATGCACCGCTAAGGCGATGGTATCAAATAGGCATTTATCGGACTAGTAATGGCGTGACTATCATGACGTTTCCACCACGTGGTTTAGGCACACTACTAGCAATCAGCCACGGTATACCATGCCACATGTATAAATAGTGGATAATAAGTTGGAAGACACCTCTCAAACTTCTGTCATTAATTCTTGGTGTTATCTGTGAAATAATTTATTCGGTAGCATCTTCACATAAAATACTATGACTACTTTCCATTATCCATAACTTAAATCACCATCCTTGTAGGATTAAAGCTTTTCATAGGACTCTTGCAGTGGGTGTTATGCAATCTAGTTAGCGTCTTTTGAAATGCAATGGATTTTCCAACTGTTTAATGGATGTGGCCTGCCAAATTCTAAATCCGATCAGATCCTTTTCCGCGCGTGTCACCGTGTGTGCCCGTGAGCTTTCCGTGCGTAACCTCAATGGTCTGATCTGGCCCAATCCGCCCTCAGATCCATCGGCCATCCGTGGATTGATGCAATCGGTGAAATGCATCAGCACAGAGCTACTAGAGCTACTAAAGCTACTGAGCTACTAAAAGCTACTGGCCGGGTACCTCAACTCTTTCAGTGGGTCCGACGACGCTGGGAGTCCCCGTCTCCGACCAGGCTGTCTATGAGAAGCGTCTGCTCGCGCATGGGACCTGGGAACATGCGGTTGTTTACAAGCGTCTGAGGGTGCGAAGGCACCGCCTGCGTCGAAGTCACGCGCGGCCCCCTGTCACGTCGGACAACGCTCCAGCCTCTCCCCAGCCTCTCTCCCCGTCCGGGTTTGCAGGGACGGGTGGGGCGGTGAGGGGGCCGCCAGCAGTGGCGCGGCCACCGCCACAGGCGCCATCGGAGCGACGCTACCTTTCCTTCACTGGAAGACGCAGCTGTCGCCTCAGGCGACAGAGTGGTCAAGGCCATCCTTGACCACGTGACCTTGATTTAGCACCCAGGAAGAAAGTCGCCAAGTGGGGATGTTTTTCGAGACATCGAGACTGCCAAGGGCGGGTCCAGCACTGGTGTCGGGTACGTGAGTGTGGCGGTCGTGGCTTTGAGGTCATGTAGCAAAGAAGGTCAGAATGGTCAAGGCCAGAATGGTCAAGGCCATCGGAAGAAAGTCGTCAATGGTGATGTTTTTCAAGACACCGAGTCCGCCAAGGGTAGGCCCAACAGTGGTGCCGAATACGCGAGCGTGGCGGTTGTGACGCGTCAGCTTCGAGGTTATTTAGCACCCAGGCGCGTGAGTCGACGATTGCACTGCGTCCGAACGTCTCGGTATGGCCTGTTTCGTGAGTGTGTCTACACCGTCTGTGAGCTCCCCGGCATGCATCCCCCTTTTGACCTTGATGAAAATGAATTAGGTCCTTGATAGACCGTTCGGCGTTATCGACGGGAGGTCAGGTCGGCAGTGCGTCGTGACACACGGGAGGAGGTTGACAGGCGTGTACGAGAGGGTGGGCCGAGCTCGATGTGGCGCAGTGTGCAGCCTGTCGTCTCGTCTAAGCAGCCAACCAGGTCCACACCTGATGCGGACGCGGACGACATTAACCAGTACTTCGCCAGCATTGGTACCGCGACCGCCCGCCAGGTGGAGTACTCGAGGCCGGAGCTGGCGGTACGCCTGCCGCGGGCGGCCACCGGCCGGTTCCAGGTGTCGCCCGTTGTACCGGAGCAACTGCGACGCGTCATAGCTCGCATGCGTAACATTTCAATTCCAGTCTGGCAGCCCATGTAGTTCCCAACTGGTGGAAGCTGACAATAGTGCATCCTATCCAAAAGACGCCAAAATTCACTGATGTTTCTAATTACAGGCCTATCTCAACTTTACCGACTATCGCTAAGGTCACCGAACGTGTAGTTTACGAGCGGCTGTTCACATATTTTACCTCTCATCACCTGATCTCGTCTAGCCAACATGGTTTTAGATCATATCACTCTACTGACACGGCGTTTCTCACGGAAACTAACAAAGTTTTTGAGGCCATGGATCAAAGGGAAATCACCTTGTTATGCATGCTGGACCTATCCAAGTTATCCCACGTGATGGACTCCTTAGAAAGCTCCAGCTGTACAATGTTGATGTACGTTGGTTTGCGAGTTTCCTCCAAAACCACTTTCAGTAAGTTTTCGTCCAGAACCCAGGTGGCGCTTCCTCTCTGTCCGCAGCATTGCACAACCCGATCGGAACCTACCAGGGCTCAGCGCTCGTACCGCTGCTGTACAGCATTTATGCTAATGATATGCCGCTGTATGCTCGTGACACATGTGTTGTGCAGCACGCAGACGACACGTAGGTTTTAGTGGGTGGGAGACCCGGTGACATTGGTACGCTGATCACATCCATGGAGCAACATCTTTCACACCTGCCCAAGTGGTTTGGCAAAGATGGAATGAAAATTAATGCACAAAAAAACACAGCTCATAATCCTCGGTTCGCGTCAAAATCTTCGGAACCTACCACCAATTAGTATCAAATTTATGGGCGCCGCTGTAGACAGCTCTCCTTTCGTTCGAACCCTGAGTGTTGTATTTGACCAGTGCATGACGTTCACTGCGCACACTGATGACGTCGTGCGGCGATGCACTGGCGTTCTTATCGGCCTCAGCCACAGCCAGCACAGTCTGCCTCAGGCCACGCTCATCACTCTAGTCCAGGGTCTAGTCATCTCACTCATCCGTTACTGCATCTGTGTGTACGAAACATGTAATGCTACTCAAACATCACGACTGCAGAAGCTGCTGAGTTTCGCAGCACGAGTCATCTCTGGGCGTCGGAAATATGATCACGTGAGCGATGTTTTACGAGATCTCGAGTGGATGTCTGCTGACAGCACGCTCTTATATCATACACTGACACTTCTGAAACGTATCCTGGAAAGATACCAGCCAGAGTCGCTATCTGATCACTTCATCCATAGACGCCATGTTCACCATCACACAACGAGGCAGGATGATATGTTACATGTGCCGGTGATCAGATCCTAATCGGGAAGGCGGCGTTTTGTTTACTCCATGTGACCGCCTACAGCGCACTACCGCAGTATATATGAGCTGAGCTGAGCTGAGTTATATCCTGCAGCGGCAGGTCAGTGACGGATAGCGACGCCTACTTCAAATGACTTAAGCAAATGTGAGAAAGTGGGTTCTGCGTTTAGGTGCCTGCATGTGCACGTGTTTGCGCGAGCCTCCCTGACCTACAGTGTTTTATTTCCATAACACGGGCTCTGTAAAAGCCACATTCTGATTGGAGTGGGCTTATGACGTGTAATAAATAAATAAATTAATAAACGGTATATTCAGCATGATCGAAGCAGATACAAGACACCAATGTTCATAAAGTTACGGCCATGTGACACGCAAATATTTATCCAGCATTGAAACTGGTATATTGCTGATTGTTCGTGTCCTCTCATGCGGCAAAAACCTTGCTGAGCATCGTTTCAGATTGTGTCATGGCACTACATAGAGGCGCAGGTTAAGTAAAGCATGCACAACACTACAAGTCGCAACACCAAAGCTTTCTGACATATCTATTCCAGTGCCAGACATTCCTCTCCCGGTTTGACACCCAACGCTTCGTCCACCTCCGATGACTTTCCCGACACGTTGTCTGCTGATTGAAACATCTGCTGAATCTGCTCCAGTGAGAGATCTTTCGTTTCAGGAAGGAAAAGCGTGGCGAAGGCAACCTGCACAAGACTAACCACCCCATTGACGACGAAGACACCCCCGAGGCCAATGGCACCACTCAGCATCGGGAAAGTCTTCAGCAAAATGAAGAGGTTCGTGTACGTCGTGCCCATGGTAATATTCGCGCAGAAGATTCGTGTACGGTTCGGCAGAAGCTCGTTGATGTAGGTGAGAGAAATGGGGGCGACAATGCACGCAAACGTTAAATGTACGAGCACCGAGCCCACCAGCACCACCGAGCCCGATCTTTGCTGCTGCGCCTCCGGCAAGAAGAAGAAGGCTGCGATGGCCGCACAGCCTGCCGCGGAGATGGCGCCGCTGCCACGCAGCAGTGGCAGACGGCCGAAACGTTCGATGACAACGCTGGTTGGCACGCACAGCGAGGCGGACAAGGCCAGCGGCAGCATCGCGCTCTGATACTGGTCCAGTGGTAGCTTCACATGTTGGAGGATAAGAGGCAGGATAAAATTGATTCCCAAGCCACCGCTCCAGATAGACACCATCATCTGGCCCGTGACGAGCAGCAGGGGCTGCAGCGTGTCTCGTCGCAGGATCAGCTTACGCATGGGGATGGAGACGCCATCGACGTGGGTCTCACGGAGGGAGTCCTTTGTACTGCGTATCTCGGCATCGGCGTCGGCCTCTTTCCCGTGAAAGAAGTGGATGGCGCGGCGGGCCTCCTCCTCCGAGTGACCGTGCGACAGCAGCCACTTGGGTGAGTTGGGGATGAAGTACAGGCCTGCCAGGCATACAACAGGCGGGGAAAAATCCCGCAATGAGGAACATGATCCGCCAGTGCGCATAGCGACCGAGGACGGTGAATGCCGCTTGGCTGGCGAACACCATCGTGTTCAGGATGGCCGTGTAAAGTGTACGCTTGTTCGGCGGTACGATCTCAGATACGTACCCTCGCACAGTGCCCTCCGACATACCGATCGAGATATTGGTGAGAATCCTTCCCAGGAGTACCCAGCCGAAGTGCTTTCCAAAACCAGCCGAGAATGAAGCTAGAGCGTGGATTGGCTGCGTCAGTACCAGCAACCGTCTCGCGCCCAGCACCGGTGCGATGGGCATTGCCAAGCAGGAGCCGACCATCAACGCCAAGGCCGTCACTGCGATGGTCCAGTTGAGCTGGTCGTCGTCCATGAAACGGTCCTCGTCCTGAGGCACCTGGATGAGGGTGATGCTATGCAAAGCAATGTTCATGCCCGTGGCTACCAGGACCTGGCCAACAATCATCGTCGCGAACACCTGCGAACGGAACGGAGAGACAGACTCACGGCCACAGATTGTAACATCATGTTTGGGAAGAAGATTAACCTTGTTGCATATGATACTTAATAGCCTGTTTTTAGCTGCTGCTGCAGCCCATTGCAGCCAGCACTGCGCATGGAGAGTGGAAAACTGGGTAAGATATTTTTTACGATTTTGTCACGATAACAATTAATCATTTCAGTTACCAATTCAATCTTTGGGGGTCGGGAGAGGGACTGACTTTGTGTGCTTCCAAACAACGTGAGTTGGGAACTGTCAATATTGTTTTCGAACTGTTAGTACGAAACCAAACATCGGGAGAGGCCTGGACGCGCTCCACCTGTGCCACGACGTTTCGAAGGGATCGTAGGATATCTAGTTTTGAAGAAGACAGTGAAATGCTTCCATGATTCGGACGCTTGGGATAAGGATAGACAGGAGCAAGCAGAGGGTCAGACCGGCAATGGCATAAAACACAGGACTGATCACACACATGCAGGCACTATCGCCACGGTACGCCGACGAAATTTAATTTAATAAATGGTTTTATAAATTAATTAATATGGTTATTATTATGGTTATATTAATATTTTTAATATAATAAATTAATTAATATGGTATTAATATAAATTAATTAATATGGTTATAATGGTTTTATAAATAAATGGTTTAATAAATTCATTTAATAAATGGTCGTGTACAATTCGGTGGACGTCAATGACAAACGCTTGAAGACACAAGCTTCGATGAGTCGTATGCGAGAAAGAAGAGCACGCGCCCTGCGTTTGGTCCTCCCTTCGCCTGTCACGCCAGGTCCACACTGATAAAAACCCGTTCTCTAATTGGAAATCACATCTGGTAATACCTAACTTGTCTCAGCTTCTGCTTCGCATCCCTGCCCCGTCACCCACACGTCAAGATGCTCTGCCAAGCGGAGAGCCAGGCGACATCACACAGCCTTAGTAGCTGAGTGCGTGGCCTGGCCCCACTGACGACACTACCCTGAATGGATTCCCCCGCTCACGACACTACCCTGAAGGGATTCCCCGCTGACGAAACTGCCCTGAAGGGATTCCCCGCTGACGAAACTGCCCTGAAGGGATTTCCCCCACTGACGACACTGCCCTGAAGGGATTCCCCCACTGACGACACTGCCCTGAAGGGATTCCCCACTGACGGCACTGCCCTGAAGGGATTCCCCCGCTGACGGCACTGCCCTGAAGGGATTTCCCCTGACGACACTGCCTGAAGGGATTCCCCCTGACGACACTGCCTTGAAGGGATTCCCCACTGACGGCACTGCCCTGAAGGGATTCCCCCTGACGGCACTGCCCTGAAGGGATTCCCCCGCTGACGGCACTGCCCTGAAGGGATTCCCCCACTACGGCACTGCCCTGAAGGGATTCCCCCGCTGACGGCAATGCCCTGAAGGGATTCCCCCTGACGAACTGCCTGAAGGGATTCCCCGCTGACGAAACTGCCCTGAAGGGATTCCCCCATGACGACACTGCCCTGAAGGGATTCCCCCGCTGACGGCACTGCCCTGAAGGGATTCCTCCACTGACGACACTGCCCTGAAGGGATTCCTCCACTGACGACACTGCCTTGAAGGGATTCCCCCACTGACGGCACTGCCCTGAAGGGATTCCCCCGCTGACGGCAATGCCCTGAAGGGATTCCCCCGCTGACGAAACTGCCCTGAAGGGATTCCCCGTGACGACACTGCCCTGAAGGGATTTCCCCACTGACGACACTGCCATGAAGGGATTTCCTTTGCCAGCAGGCTGCACAGAGCCCTGCTGAACTTGGAGGTGAAATTGGCCGACTTGGTGCACAAACATGATTAAAGATTCCGAGCAAGTAGGGGGCTTTATACCATGCGGCATGTGATGGGTAACAGTGCGAACCAAAGGAGTGCTCAAAGCACATTTCGTGCCTGCGTAAGCACTGAGAAGTGAACAAATCACACTCATGTAAAATGTTGTTAGCCGTGCAATACCACCAAAGAAAGCTACCGATGAACGGTCGAAGCAGAGCTAATATGAACTTTTTATGTTTAATAGTCGTACGTGGAGCAGCCTGAAGGTTCGCAAAATGTGACGCATATTTTTTAAGCACCGTGGTAAGGAGAGGACGATGTGAAATACATGGAAGCCGAAAAGCACACATTGGGAAATACCAGCTTATTGCGTCTTTTAGAGCGTTTGGCAGCGTGAAAGCCTTTCCCAACCAGACCGCCCATAGGCGGCGGTCAAGGTATGCCGAGAGCAGGTCAACTCAAAAGGACAAGCCACCACCCCCACACGCCACGCTCCACCAGTCACCGCCGGTCATGTCACCTGCTTGATGGTGTCACCCATCTCTGGTGGAGCAGGCTGCGCAGGGCTCGCTGTTGGTCTTCCTCACGAGGCAGCCTCGCCGGACCTGGCACCTTTCACGTGCTGCCGTGATCTGTAATCAACAACCCGTTTCGCTGGCGGTGTCCGAGCCCGCCCTCGGGCATGCATTAACGACATTCGCTCGAGCGGGCAAAGGGCACGGGTCATGCATACCCGACGGCGGGCTCAGCCCTCGCCAGCGAAACGGGTTACCCCTTATATACGACAGCTGTGCGTGGATGGTGCCAGATCCGGCGAGGCTGCCTCGTAAGGAAGACCCATAGTGAGCGCTGCGCAGCCAGCTCCACCAGAGATGGATGGCACCATCAAGCAGGTGACATGACTGGAGGCGACTGGTAGTGCGTGGCGTGCAGGGGCGGTGGCTGCGTTCTTGTGTCAGGGGACCTAGTATACAGCCCGTTACTTGCTCAAAATTTTTAATCGTGTTTGAGTACCATTTCAGCCAACTTTAGTTCACCTCCAAGTGCAACAGGGCTCAGTGCAGTCTATGCGGCAAAGGGAATCCAGGGCAGTGTCATGAGTAGGGCCAGGCCAAGCACTCAGCCGCTGAGGCCGTGTGATGTCGCCTAGGTCACAGCCTGGCAGGAAGGGCGGGCACTGCGGGGAATCGAACTCCGCACCACGGGTTTCCCAGACGTGCAGCTAAACCGCTACACTTCCAGCGTCCTGACCTTTCAGGGTGACGACCCCCAAGTCCGAAGGGTCCTAAGGTGACATCGACCCGGATGACATTGGTGAGCATTGCTCCGTAAGCATAGATCAGGTTTTAACCTCGCCCGGGTTCCTCGCTTTTCATGCCGCGAACGGATATGGAGATGTCCGAAGGGGGGGGGGGGGGGCGGATCCCCTGTCGTTAGGAGATTAAGAGTGGGAGAAAATCGCGGAAAAACGGTGGATAGTGGTGTGTCCCGAGCAAAATGTTGCGATTGGCCTAATTTGGTTTGCTGTCAGACCAGTTTTTGTCCCGCTAGACCAGGTCAAAGGTTAGTTTTTCCAAGAAATTGGAATAGGTCAGCTTTTCATTTCCATATCCAGTGACCCCATAAGGGATCAGGGGAAGGGGGAGGGCCCGAGGACCGGCTCTTGGTTCGGAACCGAACCAAGGAATCGGTCTCCAATTAGGCTCAGGGAAACAACTATAAACCAATTTGTATTTGCTGCTAGAAGTGCGATAAGACAAGAGCAAGACAAGATTCAATAAGACAAGATTCCCGGATAAGACACGAGCAGATTACGCACCATTCGGTAATCGCGAAACAGATGAAAGACAACTCTGCATGTAGCCTGCCGCTAGCAGCGTGGTCGCTAGATTTGAACAAAGGTGCTACGTAAAGGATTTCCTGGGCTGTCAGTGATACTCTGTTCACAACCATGGGCAACGCAGCAGGGGAAGTGTACAGAGCTGGCAGATTCCCCCCCCCCCTCACCACGCTGTCCGCCGGCAGGGAGGCGAAGGCTGGTTTTTGACCCCTCTAAATTTTTGGGTGGTCCCTTTTTCTCTAGTTCAAGGTATTGTAGACATCCCTAGGCCACCAAAATTGAGATCAATGAGGCCCCAATAACACGAGCTAGACATTAATAATTGGGGTTCAAAGGCCCTTTGTCTGCATCAAGAGGCATATTTTCTGTGTCATGAGGTCACCTTTATGAATGAGACCACCTTTATAAAAAGCATCATACGGACTAGTAGGCCTAATGCTATGCTAAGGAGGCACTTTCGAAGCCTTCGGAGGCCTCCGTTGCCAACTAGCGAGCCTATGTTCTGAGGTAGGAGGTACACCCTATACTCAGGAGGCGCAATTTCTGGAACAGGAGTCCCCTTTCATGCATCCTGTGGCCGCGGTTCCGGATCAGGGCGCTCTGTTTTGAGATAACGGAGGTCCTTTGACTAGATTTGAGACCCCTTCATGAATCGCAAGCATCTGGTTCTGGATCGAGAGACCCCTCCAGATCGGGGAGACACTTTTCTGGAACAGGAGGGGCTGTTTTAGGATGGAGAGCTCTTACAACACTGTCCAGGGGACCCCTGCGAGCAGGCCCTATTTTGTCCAGGAAGCCCTCGTTAGAATCCCGTGCCCCTAACTCAAAATTCATTGAGCCGCTCCTACTGACGAGCGTTGTGCTCATCGCGTGCGGGAGTACGAGCCCAGTGGCGTTAGAACAGCGTCGTCCATCCAATAGGGCCCACAGGGTGTATGTTCTAGTCAACCATAGCGCTCAGTATGTATCGTGTGTGCGTTATTGCATTACAAGAATCAGCCGGTGCTTTTATTAATGGCAATGCTCCCTGCAAAGCACGTAGCCATGACATGTGGGTGACGGGGCAGGAATACAAAGCAGAGGATAGAACAATTAAGGTCTTCCCAGATGTGATTTCCAAACGGAATAAGGGCTTTTTTATCAGTGTGGACCTGGCGTGACAGGCGAAGAGGAGACCAAATGCAGTGTGTCTGTTCTTCTTTGCCACTTACGACTGGTTGGAGCCCGTGCCTTCAAGCATTTATCATTAAAATCCACCGAACTGCACGTGATCATTTAAGGAGTTAATGTTTACTCGGCGTGCGGTGGCGGTAGTGTCTGCATGCGTGTGATCCGCCTATGTTTTTATGCGATTGGCGTAATGACTCTCCACTTGCTCCTGTCTTTCATTACCCCAAGCGTCCGACTCTTACAAGCATTTTGTCTTCTTTAAAACCAGATATCCTACAATCCCTTCGAAACGTTGTAGCGCAGGTCGAACGCGCCCAGGGCTCTCTCGATGTTTGGTTTCGTACTAACAGTTAGAAGAAAATATTGACAAATCCCAACTCACGTTGTTTTGAAGCACACAAAGTCAGCCCCTCTCCCGACCCCCAAATATTGTATTGTTAACTGAAATGATTGATTGTTGTCGTGACAAAATCATAAAGAGCATCTTTCCCAGCTCTCCACTCTCCATACGCGTGCTGGCTGCAATGGGCCGCAGCAGCAGCTAAAAATAGGTTATTAAGTGTCAGATGCACCAAGGTTAATCTTCTTCCCACACACTGATGTTACAATCTCTGGCCATGAGTCTGTCTCTCTGTTCTGTTCGCAGGTGTTCGCGACGATGATTGTTGGCCAGGTCCTGGTAGCCATGGGCGTGAATTGTGCTTTGCACAGCATCACCCTCATCCAGGTGCCTCAGGACGAGGACCGTTTCATGGACGACGACCAGCTCAACTGGACCATCGCAGTGACGGCCTTGGCGTTGATGGTCGGCTCCTGCTTGGCAATGCCCATCGCACCGGTGCTGGGCGCGAGACGGTTGCTGGTACTGACGCAGCCAATCTACGCTCTAGCTTCACTCTCGGCTGGTTTTGGAAAGCACCTCGGTTGGGTACTCCTGGGAAGGATTCTCACCAATATCTCGATCGGTATGTCGGAGGGCACTGCGAGAAGCTACGTATCTGAGATCGTACCGCCGAACAAGCGTACACTTTACACGGCCATCCTGAACACGATGGTGTTCGCCAGCCAAGCAATATTCACCATCCTCGGTCGCTATGCGCACTGGCGGATCATGTTTCTCATTGCGGGATTTTTCCCCGCTGTTGTATGCCTAGCAGGCCTGTACTTCATCCCCAACTCACCCAAGTGGCTGCTGTCGCACGGTCACTCGGAGGAGGAGGCCCGCCGCGCCATCCATTTCTTTCACGGGAAAGAGGCCGACGCCGATGCCGAGATACGCAGTACAAAGGACTCCCTCCGTGAGACCCACGTCGATGGCGTCTCCATCCCCATGCGTAAGCTGATCCTGCGGCGAGACACGCTGCAGCCCCTGCTGCTCGTAACCGGCCAGATGGTCATATTCATTTGGAGCGGCGGCAACGGAATCAATTTTATCCTGCCCCTTATCCTCAAACATGTGAACCTACCTCTGGACCAGTACCAGAGCGCGATGCTGCCGATGGCCTTGTCCGCCTCGTTGTGCGTGCCAACCAGCGTTGTCATTGAACGTTTCGGCCGCCTGCCACTGCTGTGTGGCAGCGGCGCCATCTCCGCGGCAGGCTGTGCGGCCATCGTAACCTTCTTCTTCTTGCCGGAGGCGCAGCAGCAAACATCGGGCTCGTTGGTGCTGGTGGGCTCGGTGATCGTGCATTTGACGTTCGCGTGTGTTATCGCCCCCATTGCTCTCACCTACGTCAACGAGCTTCTGCCGAACCGTACACGAATCTTCTGCGCGAATATTACCATGGGCATGGTGTACACAGACCTCTTCATTTTGCTGAAGACCTTCCCGTTGCTGAGTGGTTCCATTGGCCTCGGGGGTATCTTCGTCATCAATGGCGTGGTTAGTCTTGTGCAGGTTGCCTTCGCTACGTTTTTTCTTCCTGAAACCAAGGATCTGTCACTGGAACAGATTCAGCAGATGTTTCAATCAGCAAACAAGGTGTCGGGAGAGTCATCGGACGTGGACAAAGGGTTGGGTGTCAAACCGGATGAGGAAAGCCTAGCATTGGAATAGGTATGTCAGAAAGATTTGGTGTTGCGACTTGTTGTTATGCATGTTTTACTTAACCTGCGTCTCCATGCAGTGCCATGAAACAATCTGAAACGATGCTCAGTAAGGTTTCTGCCCTATGAGAGGACACGAACAATCAGCAATATACCAGTTACAATGTTGGATGAACATTCGTGTGTGATATGCTTGTTATTGTACGGACCTTGCTGTTTTTATCCGCTCCGATCATGCCGAATATACCGCTGCTAACATTGAATGGTCTAGCAAGAAACGAGTTCATGGTCATCAACAAAAGGGATGCATTCCAGGAACCTCACAGACGGTGTAGATATGTTCATGAAACAGGCCATGCCGAGACGTTCATGTAGCACCCAGTTCAATCGTCGACTCGCGCACCTGGGTGCTACATGACATCGAAGCTGACGCGCCACAACCGCCACACTCGCGTACTCGACACCAGTGCTGGGCCTGCCCTCGGCGGACCCATTCTCTTGAAAAAAGATCATTCTGTCGCCCGAGGCAACTGCTG